GTATTGTGTGGTGCTGGCGGAGCCGCTTTAGCTTGCGTTTGGTGTGGATGTTACTTCCGCTCTGTTCCATAAGTTTTTTCATGCTTTGTTTCACCTCTGGCCTGCTCATGCGCCGCCTGAGACATCCTAGTTCTAGGACAGAGTGCTCTCCTTTCTCTCTCCTCCTCGGTATGTGGTGGCCCCTTCTGTTCAAGATTGTTTTTCCAAGGCTCTTTTTACCTGCTGGCATTGGCTTCTGGGGGTCAGGTTGCTCTTGCGGTCCTGGCAGAAGGTTTGTGCGTTTGCAACTGTCTCCTTCTTCTCCGGCGAAGAATGAGTCGGCAGCTTTCTGGAGGGGTCCTTGGGTCGTTGATGCTTGGTTGGTCAGGCTGGGGGTGCATCATGTTGCGTACCATCATACCCCTGAAGTTATGCATCCGGTTGCGGCTCTTCGCCATTACCTGTGCGTAATGGCCTCTGTGGCCGGGAATGCGCTTTGGGTTGACCCAGTTTCCCTTGTTCCCTGTTCCAGGGCTCGGGGTCTGCCAAGTCATCCGCAGGGTTATTTGATCTAGCCAGCCTGCAGTCAATGCTAGTGCCCATGACGTTCGTAAGTTTGCTGCTTCGGCTGCCGTCTCTGGTAACATGTCTTGGGCTGACATTCGGGCATAGGAATTTTGGAGGTTGAACAGGGTCCTGGCCACCCATTACTATGCCAATGTTCCTGGCCCTAGTCGGGCAAGTGTCGTTTTGGGTCGCAGTTTGCAGCCAGTTGTCTCGACGTCGAGTTGAGACACGAAGGGCAGCTGCCTCCCGGGTAAGTCCCTCTTGTCACTTTCCTTTGTTTAGGTAGCTCTGGGCAGCTGTAGGGTATTCCCACAGAAAACTAGTATTGAATGTAATGAAACACCATTTTCTAGGTGAGCCCCAGAGGCTCCTCGGCACCCTCCCTCTCTCCGGTCGTTTTTTTTTTTTTTTGTGCTCTTTTTGATGCTCAGCATCAGAACTGGATGCTGTAGTGGCTGGCACAGGGAGGCTGCATGGACGATTGGCATGATGGAGTTAGTGATGTTTGCTTGTTTTAGTTTGGGAGTTTTGCCTCCCTGTTCATTTTTGGGTAGCAATTTTACCATGTGGGGTTTGTTGCATTTACCTTTCAGGATGCCAAACCCCAGTCGATGGCAGACATGGAATGCTTCCAAACACTTCCAAACATGCTTTTCGTGTTATGAGCCCAATCTCTTCAGAAAATTTGAATCGGGTTACGAACTTTACCTCGGGAAACGAGTTTGTTGATACGTGTATGGCCGATCTAGCGCGTGGTGGCACGGCAATCACGCCTCAGTTTACCAGTGCCTCCCGCCTAGTGACTATCGCACCTGAATTCTTTGCAAGAATTTACAGTTTTTTTTTGGATTTTTGGCTATTTGAACATAAAATTTTTTATTATATATCTCGCCATGGGTCCCAAGAAAGCCAGTGGTAAGGTTCAAGCCAAGAAAACACATGTGAGAATGACCAGAGAGAAAAAACAAGAGATCATTCATGAACATGAAAATGGTACACATGTTGTTGAACTAGTTAGGCAGTACAACAAATCTTCAGGAAAGAAGGAGGAGGCAGTAGAGGATGCCCCTTCCTCATTAACCCTTAAATGGTGCATGGCTGTATACCATTTGACACCCACAGGCGCATACAAAAAAAAATATATATATATTATTTTTTCTTCCTAACCTGTTAATTTGTGTTCACTGATCATGGGGAAAAAAAAAAATAGTAAGTGGCATATATTGCCTGCTATAGGGCAGGGAAGTTTGGCAAAAACACAGGCGCTGACTCAGCGTGCGTCCCAGATGGTCTGTTGCTCCCCAGCTGTCAGGCCAGAGTTGCCACAAAGAGATAATTACCTAATTATTTCACTGTCTGATTGAACGTAGTGTTTTTGCTGTAATATTATTCAATAGTGTGTAGTGTGATATATTTATATAATTAAATGAGTGAATCATCGCTGTACTCAAAAATATGGTGCGCATATTGTTGATTCAATTATTATGTTCATCAAACAGTGAACAAATACTTTGTCGGTCATTACACTATATACACAGGTTATATATAAGTATCTGCATGTTTTGTCCACCATAATGAACCACTAAGTTGCTATTGTGAGTCAAAAAGTAACGAGGAGTGACCAGCCAGCCACTCACTCCCTCAAGTCACCTGACTCACCCACATTCTCCTCCCACAATACTGTTTTTGCTTTTATTCACTATAAACAGACGCTATATATAAGTACTGTATCTACATTCGTGTTCACCATAACGAACCACTAAGTTGGTATGCTGCGTGGCAGTGTTAGTGGCAGCCCGCCATTGGCTGCCTCTCCCTCCCTCCCTCCCTCCCTCCCTCCCTCACCTCACCTGACGTGCCACCATTCTCCTCCCACCATACTGTTTTTGCTTTTATATACAGACATTATATATAGGTATTTACATGTTTTGTTCACCATAACTGTACATCTAAGATTGTATGGTGAGTAAAGGCACAAAGATGTAGCTACTCGCACAGTCAGCTGGTGGTGGTCGCCCTCAAGGCGACACCACCACCTCAGACGCACTAATATTTCTCCTCCAACAATACTGTTTGCGGTGTTATTACGCTATATACACACATTATATATAAGTATCTACCTGTTTTATTCACCATACTTGTACAAGTAAACTGGTATGGTGCCCAAAGACCATAGTGGTAACCAGTAAACAACATGATAAGTCGTGCAGAAGATGCACCTCCCTCACCAAAATGGCGGCTCCCAACCTACTCCTATTGCTGTTTATACCCTCTATGCACACATTATATACAAGAATCTACATTTGTGTTCACCATAGCAAACCACTAAGCTGGTATGGTGAGTGCAGTCAATAAAAGGTGGCCACACATAGTCAGAAGACAACGCCACTACCCTCCCTTCCACAGCATTACTCCTCCCTCCATGGAGCACAGCGCTAAATATCACCACAATCCTGCTATTATCAGAACCCTGGTCAGTTTTATCACAGTCAGGGGTCTTCTGTAATAATATCATCGCTACATAATAGCATGAACAAGTATATTATGGCATTTTTAGGTGATGCTGTGGTCACAAGCTGAACAGAAGTGCTGTGAGCTCATGCTGCATGCATCAGGCTTGGTTGCTCACTCAATACTGAGGCCCCTAACACCTGGGAATTTGTCCCACGATTTAAAAAAAAAATGGCGTCTGTTTACAAGAGCCCTGATGAAGGTGTGGTGAACCCCGTGTATCCGCGGGCAGTTTAAATCTTGCGTAGTACTCCAAAGCATCATATGATGCAATGCGCAATTTACTGCAAGTCGGTCAAAGCATCATATGATGCGTTGCGCAGCTTAGGGGTTAAGAAAATGTGTGAAGTATGGGAAGAACTGCAAAGTTTTGTTGAAAAAACTCACCCAAATAAAGCTGTAGCAGGCCGTTGCATTGACCTTTTAAATGACAATGTGATGTCTTACTACAGGCAAGTGTTGCAAAGAAGGGAAAAACAATCTTCAATGGATCGTTTTATTGTGAGAAAATAAAGCAGTGAGCCACAACCAGGACCTAGTGGTATGCAAGCAAAACGTTTCAGAAAAATTTTTACTGCCTGATGTTATAATGGAAGGGGACTCCCCTTCCAAACACTAACACCTCTTCTCCTCCTCCCTCCTCACCGTCTTCCATACGCCAACAAGAGTCATCAGTAAAGGTAAGTAATAACTTGTACACACTTTTGTAGTAAAGATTTGGGTAAATTAGGTATAAAGTTTACATTGAAGTTAAGTTTTGGGGAGTCAGGAACGGATTAATTAATTTCCCATTATTTCTTATGGGGAAATTCACTTCAGTTTATGAATTTTCGGGTTACAAACCATCTCTAGGAACAGATTAAATTCGTAAACTGAGGTACCCCTGTAGTTAAATGTTTGGAACATCACAATGCTAAAAAATATGGTACTCATATCTAGTGACAAGTTTATTATATTCTTGGATCACTGAAACATTGCTTTATACTGTATTAATAGAATATATATATAATATACTGTATTACATTATACAGTATACACACACACACACACAGGTTATATACATCTATTTATATTTTTATAAACCATAACAAACTACTAAGTCATTCTTGTGTGTGTGGTGATGAAATCTTAGCACAGTATAGAGCTATACCAGCTGACTTAAGCAGCCGACATCACCTGATGCAGCAAAATAACCTGCAATATACTATGCACACTGCTATTATTTTCTGATTCCTGTCACTAAATCATGAATGTGAATCATTTTCCACAAGTTTATTTCTAATGAAACATGAGGTCATGTTGGATGATGTGTAGATTCACAAACCTCTGCTGTGTGCTGTAAATGTCTGCCTCCTGCTGTGAACATCATAATTAGCATTGTGTTCACTGATATCTGAACCTTGCACATAACTTTTATTGCACTCAGGATCATCTATGACACTATCAATACAAAATAATTGCAGTTATTTATTTTATTCATGGTTACTAAGTGGTGCTGTGGCCCCTACTTGAACAGCTGCTGCTTATGATATACTAACAAACATCATATGTAGGGTGGCTCATCCCCCCATTCCCTATAGTATAACGGGTTGCACAGTACAGTACAGTAGTTAACCCATTTAATTGCCTCAAAATGATTTTCTCACTGATATATTACTCCATTGTGATTTCTTTGTGGTTTCATATATCAAAATCTTGAAGCTACAGTACGTGAGTTATGCAGATGTAAAATATGTAAATGTGACTACACATAACACTGGTCAATGGCACAAGTAAACACATTGGAGACAAGAGGGTCCCTTCATAGAAGCTGAAATACACGTTTCTCTTCTCATTAATTTTTTAGTATATTCTTCATGTGGGTTTGCTAATGCCATCTAAACCCACCAGATATTCTGCCTCTAATATTTACAGATACTGTATTATTAGTATGACTTTCTTACCTGTGCTCTGTTTTTCTTGAATAGTCTGCTCCAACATTTCAGCCAGAGCTTCCTCGGTCACCTCTGGTTCCTTGGGTGGCAGGATACCTTTCTTCCGAAGAATGTCATTCCATTCTGTATCTTCATCTGGGTTCTGCAAGTCAAGTGCAGCACAAAATTAAAATTGTTAAATTGCAAATTTGGTATATTTTCTTTTAACAAGCATCAATAGTTTGTGTTATTTTTTTCACTAGTGACAATTTGTGCCAGCTTCCAAGTACAGTACGGTAAGCTCTGCTTTGAGTAGGACATTCAGCTGCTCCGTAAGGCAAGATTTTCCTCATCCTACAGCCAGTGCAGGTTGACATTCTGCAAAGACAAAGCAGGGATCTTTCCATATGTCCCTGCCAGATCACACAGTGCTAGGGAGACAATGGGGAATACTCAATTCAATCTGGAATGACCTCAAGAGAATTAAATTTAAAATTAACTCAAAGCCCATCCAAGCACTATTTGGCATCAGAGGAATCTCCAAGCAGCACTCTTGCTATAACTGGACTGCCGGGTCACCCTGAATGCCATCAAATGGCAGTAACTACACCACAAGTGAAAAAACAGATTGAATGTAATGAAATGCCTATTTCTGGGTGAGCCCTCATGGCTCATTGAAACTATACACTGAGATGGTTCCCAATTACCCTGTTGCATCAGCCTCGGAGTTCTTAGACCTACTGTGGACCAGAGCCAAAACCTTGATCTTCACAGAGGTGCAGGATGGTGGTGACATTTTGCCATCTACCAGGGAAGGTATCCAGAAAATCAGAGTCAAAACAAACCACTGCTGTGATCAAGAGAGACCGAAGCTTCGCAACCAGCATAATTAACTCCCCGACTATGTAACCAATCATATTTCTTGAAACTAGTGTGAGCTCATTCAGCCCACCTCCCACCACTTGTTTGAGGGGGAAAGGAGCTTAGTCCATCAAAGGGTCTGAGCTGTTAGATCTGGAGCAGATGAACATACAAGACCCACCTAACTACCTGGAAGGGAGGGGGGAAATTGGAGAGCAACCAGGGCTCACCTAAACATAGGCATTTTGTTACATTCAATGCTGGTTTGTTGAGGGGAGCCCCTTGTGGCTCCCTGAGGCTAACTACCCAAGGAGGAGGAAGAACACAGGGAAAACTTACCAGAGAGGAGGGGAAAAATCACAGTGGTCAGGACAAAGAAGAGACTCTCTGACTAGACACAACCCAAGGCCACAAGGACTCCAAGGCCGGGAAACATTTACCAAATACTAGGGCTGTGAAAATCCTGTTAGAATGCCAAAACCTTAAAGCCCGAATATCGGTTCAGGACATACGGCTGTGTTTGCTAGTACAGTGAGCAGTATATTTCTGAACATCATCGGTGTGAGGGTAGACTGAAGGCTGGCTACACTTAATAACACTGCGGATGACCTGAGAAAAACAAGCCTTTGAACAAGGAACGAAGGAAAAAGAAACAACCCACAAAGTGTCTAAAACAGAATCGGTGGCACAAAGGAAGTGGTGGAAAGCCACCACCAGACAAGGCACATGATGCACCTTCACTCACCCTAACCAAGCGTCAATAACCAAAGGACCCTTCCAGAAGCCAACCAACTCGTTCTTCGGCAGAAAAGAGGGAGCCGGCTGCATGCAAACCAAGCACCCACCAGAGCCAAAGGAACAGAAACCACTTCTCCCGAGGAGAGCGTGAAACTCCCCGACTTAAGAACAGGAGGCAAGAGACACCAAAAACAAGGCCTTTGAAAAAGAATCATGGACCAAAGGGAACACAGTAAAATAAGAAGAAAAGAAAAGAAAAGAAAAGCAAGATCATGGTCCAAAGACTATACAGGATCAGGTTTCACATGAACAGGCCAGAGATAAAACAATGCACAAGACAGCCTGCAAAGAGGCACTGAGGTAGTATAAACACCGAATGCCAGTTGCAGTAGCTCCAAAAACACCACATCAGGGTAGTTAACAAATGGAAACGATTAGGCAGTGATGTGGTGGGGACAGACTCTATACACAGTTTCAAATGTAGATATGATAGGCTAAGGAATTTGTACACCAGTTGATTGACAGTTGAGAGGCAGGACCAAAGAACCAAAGCTCAACTTTTGCAAAGCACAACTAGGTGTGTACAATACGAGGCAACAGTATTCAGCACAAAACAAAGATCAAGATATACAGTACTGTAGAAATTTGCTAATCCGAAGCTCGCGAATAGGGGTTTGTTTTGGGACGCCTACCTTTCTGGGTGCCTAACCCGGTCAATGGCAGACATAGAATGCTTCCAACCACACGGGGGGTTTGTATAGGCCATTGCTCTTCGTGCCTCTGTGACGGGGCCAGGTTCTGGCTCGTGGTCCCCGGTAGGCCCACAGAACTCCATACACATGACTGATGCCAAAGTCTGACATTAGCATAGCAGCCTGGATAGCTCTGGGGAGCCAACAGGGCTTCCCCAGAAAAATAATTAAAACTAAATGGGTAGAACACCTGGAGGAAAACGACATAATAACATATAGACAATATGGTTTTTGATCTGGACGATCCTGTGTAACGAATTTCCTCAGTTTCTAGCCACAGAGATTTTAGAGGAAAGAGATGCTTGGGTTGACTGTATCTATCTGGACCAAAAACCCAGCGTTGAATGTAATGAAACGCCATTTTCTGGGTGAGTCCCAGAGGCTCCCTGGAGCTGAATGGATATGTATAACTTTCTGGCATCAGTCAAAGTGCTTGGAGTTCTTGCCTACCGGGAACCATGAGCCAGAACCTGGCCCCCTCAGAGAGGCACGAGGAGCAATGGTCTATAGTAACCCCCCCCTGTGGTTGGGAGCATTCTATGCCTGCCATCGACTGGGATAGGCACCCAGAAAGGTAGGCACCCCAAAACAAACCCCTATTCTGGTGAAAATATTGCTACCGAAAACCGAATGAGTGGACAGAACTGCTTGATACCTGCTTGGTTCTGGGAGTTCTTCTACTCCCCAAGCCAGGCTCGACTTGTGAGAGTTTGGTCCACCAGGCTGTTGCTTGGAGCGGCCCACAGACCCACATACCCACCACAGCCCGGCTGATCCGGAACTTTTCTTAGAAAACAGTCTAGTTTTCTCTTGAAACTCCCCAAACAAAATTATCAAACTAGCATGACGTCATCACGTCGCCATGCCGTTGTCTGTGCAACCCTCTCTATTCCCTCTCAAGATATTGTATGGTAAGCAGCTCCATGAATTTATAACCCTATGGGTGAAATGAATTCTGTTTTCAATCCTACACTGTAATTTGAGCTTGAAGCTATTACACCGTGTTTGCATTACATTTGATCTTTTGAAGAAGTGGTTTAGAGTAATATCTTCAAACTTGTTCAGTATTTTAAAGGACTCCATGAGATCGGCCTTTTTTATCCGGTTGAGTATTGTTAGTCCGGTGGCCCTCAACTATTCCCAGTTTAAGAGTTGGCATAGTATTGGGATTATTCTTGTAGCTCTGTGCTGTACTGTCTCCAGAGTAGATACATCCTTTTGAAGGTAATGTCTCCATGCTTGGGATACTGTCATCTAGATGGGGCACACCAGAGACCTGTACACAGTTGAGTAACCACTTTCATTTCCTTGAATTCAAAGAGTCACATGACAATTCTTACAGTTTAGTTGATTTCTTTTTAGTACAGCTCCTACTTGTGCAACTTTCAGAACCCATCCACCTGACATGATACAGGATTCCTGACATGATTCTGTAACTACAGTATGTGGATGATTGTACAAATATGGATATTATGGACAAACAGAACGTAGAATTAAAATTAATAGGACAGAGTCCAGAAAAAATAAACTAAGACCAAACTTATATTTCCAAGGTCTAGTATAACACATATACAGTATATACTAGCATTTATAAGGCCTAGGATAGCATGTATAACACCAAGGATAGTTTGGTTTCATGAGCAACATAAAAAAAACTTTTTCCTGTTTGTCCAAATTCAATAATACAAAAGTCTACTTTTTATTGGTCCGTCATGTCCATATTTGAATGATGGGCCACATTGTTACTATAAGCACTTTGATTTTAGGAGGATGAACTGAACTTTCAATGACTGAGAGATCAATGTGCTGCCTGGTAGTGTTGTTGTTATGTCACTTGTGATGTGCATTGTCACGCCCTACATGCACAACCCGTTCTCGCAAATTTAATAAGTCAATATTGACTTATTAAATATGTGCATAGGTGACATACTTAACATAATAGATACCCTTAAAAAGATTCATAGAAAACACCGACCTTACCTAACCTTGTTAGTATCTTAAGATAAGCATCTTATTGCTTCGTAATTACAATTATTACCTAACCTATAATAGGTATAGGTTAAGTAATAATTGTAATTACGAAGCAATAAGATGCTTATCTTAAGATACTAACAAGGTTAGGTAAGGACGGTGTTTTCTATGAATCTTTTTAAGGGTATCTATTATGTTTAGTATATCACCTATGCACGTAGTTAATAAGTCAATATTGACTTTACGAATTTGCGAGAACGGGTTGACATGCAATATTGAAAAGCATGATTCTAAAACTGCAAATTTTGTAAACATCACTTTACTGCATTTTGAGATCAACTTCTTGTATATTAATTATATAACAAAACAAATAATTATATAACAAAATTGTGATAATTATTTCCAGTTTGGCAGCAAGATGCTGCTTGTGGAAGCTCTATTTATTTAGACTACTCAATAGCTCGGTCGATAGAGCTTCGGCCTCACACACACAAATTTACGGGCTCATCATAGCTTGTGCTACATGGACACTTCGTCCTGAGTAGTTAAATCTTTAACAACAACAACTCACACACACACACACACACACACAATGTTTGCGGACGATGCTAAAATTATGAGAAGGATTAAAACAGAAGAGGACTGTTTGAGGCTTCAAGAAGACCTAGACAAGCTGAAGGAATGGTCGAACAAATGGTTGTTAGAGTTTAACCCAACCAAATGTAATGTAATGAAGATAGGTGTAGGGAGCAGGAGGCCAGATACAAGGTATCATCTGGGAGAGGAAATTCTTCAGGAGTCAGAGAAGGAAAAAGACTTGGGGGTTGATATCACGCCAGACCTGTCTCCTGCAGCACATATCAAGCGGATAACATCAGCAGCATATGCCAGGCTGGCCAACATACGAACGGCATTCAGAAACTTGTGTAAAGAATCATTCAGAACTTTGTATACCACATATGTCAGGCCAATCCTGGAGTATGCAGCCCCAGCATGGAGTCCATATCTAGTCAAGGATAAGACTAAACTGGAAAAGGTTCAAAGGTTTGCCACCAGACTAGTACCCGAGCTGAGAGGTATGAGCTACGAGGAGAGACTACGGGAATTAAACCTCACTTCGCTGGAAGACAGAAGAGTTAGGGGGGACATGATCACCACATTCAAGATTCTGAAGGGGATTGATAGGGTAGATAAAGACAGTCTATTTAACACAAGGGGAACACGCACAAGGGGACACAGGTGGAAACTGAGTGCCCAAATGAGCCACAGAGATATTAGAAAGAACTTTTTTAGTGTCAGAGTGGTTGACAAATGGAATGCATTAGGAAGTGATGTGGTGGAGGCTGACTCCATACACAGTTTCAAGTGTAGATATGACAGAGCCCGATAGGCTCATGAATCTGTACACCTGTTGATTGACGGTTGAGAGGCGGGACCAAAGAGCCAGAGCTCAACCCCCGCAAACACAACTAGGTGAGTACAACTAGGTGAGTACACACACACACACACGTAAACGTAGATAGTAGATAGTAATAGATAGTAAACGTGAAGGTCTTATAACAATAATGAGAGAGATTATAGCGAGAGCGGATAACGATAGATCACGACTGTTGATAGTCGGTGACTTCAACTTGAAATCCATAGACTGGGAAGCATATGAAGCTAAAACAGAAGATTTTTGGACCTGTAAATTTGTAGACCTCATCCTGGAAACATTCTTGTATCAACATGTTAAACAAGCTACGAGGATGAGGGAAGGGGACGTTCCCTCCATGCTAGATTTGATATTTACCAGGAAGGAGGAAGAGATATTTGACATTCAGTACCTTCCTCCCTTGGGTAAAAGTGACCATGTCTTTTTGGGAATAAAGTATGCAATGCGTTATAAGCTGGAAGAAAATAAGGAGGTTGAAGCAGTTGAAAAACCAGACTTCAGGAGAGGACATTATGGTGACCTTAGAATTTTTTTTAGCGAGTATAATTGGACAGACTTGATGCTAGGCAAGGAAGTGAATGAGATGTATGTCAAGTTTTGTGAAATATATGTTAAAGGCACAAAAAAATTTATACCAAAACAGAGATGCAGAACTAGGAAACAGGATTGGTTCAATAGAAATTGCGAGAGGGCTAGAGACCAAAAGACACAAAAATGGAATCAATACAGGAAGAGGCCGAACCTCCAAACATACCAGCGATACAAAGATGCGAGAAACAACTACACGGCAGTGAGGAGAGAGGCAGAAAGAAATTTTGAAAAAGGGATTGCAGACAAATGTAAAACAGAACCAGGTCTATTCTATAAATTCATAAACAACAAATTGCAGGTAAAGGATAATATTCAGAGGTTGAAAATGGGAAATAGATTCACGGAAGATGAAAAGGAAATGTGTGAAACATTAAACGAAAAGTTCCAAAGTGTGTTTGTACAAAATGAAATCTTTCGGGAACCAGATACAATAAGAATTCCAGAGAACAACATAGAGCACATAGAGGTGTCTAGAGACGAAGTGGAAAAAATGCTCAAGGAGCTAAGTAAGAACAAAGCAGTTGGTCCAGATGGAGTTTCACCATGGGTTCTGAGAGAATGTGCACCTGAGCTCGGCATTCCACTTCAACTGATTTTTCAGGCATCCCTGTGTACAGGAGTCGTAGCTGATGTGTGGAAAAAGGCTAACATAGTTCCAATCTACAAAAGTGGAAACAGGGAAGACCCCTTAATTATAGACCTGTATCATTGACAAGTGTAATAGTCAAAATATTGGAAAAAATAATTAAAACTAAATGGGTAGAATACTTGGAGGAAAACGCTATAATATCAGACAGACAGTATGGTTTTCGATCTGGAAGATCCTGTGTAACGAACTTGCTCAGTTTTTATGATCAAGCCACAGAGATTTTACAGGAAAGATGGTTGGGTTGACTGCATCTATCTGGACCTAAAAAAGGCTTTCGACAGAGTTCCCCATAAGAGGTTGTTCTGGAAACTGGAACATATTGGAGGAGTGACAGGTAAGCTACTAACATGGATGAAAAATTTCCTAACTGACAGAAAAATGAGGGCCATAATCAGAGGCAAGGTATCGGATTGGAGGAATGTCACGAGTGGAGTACCTCAGGGTTCAGTTCTTGCACCAGTGATGTTTATTGTCTACATAAACGATCTACCAGTGGGAATGCACAATTACATGAACATGTTTGCTGATGATGCTAAGATAATAGGGAAGATAAGAAACTTAGATGATTGTCATGCCCTTCAAGAAGACTTGGACAAAATCAGTATATGGAGCAACACTTGGCAAATGGAATTTAATGTGAATAAATGCCATGTTATGGAATGTGGAACTGGAGAACATAGACCCCACACAACCTATAAATTATGTGAGAAATCTTTAAAGAATTCTGATAAAGAAAAGGATCTAGGGGTGGTTTTAGATAGAAAAATGTTACCTGAGAACCACATTAAGAACATTGTGCGAGGTGCCTATGCTACACTTTCTAACCTTAGAATTACTTTTAAATACATGGATGGAGAAATACTAAAGAAATTGTTCACGACTTTTATTAGACCAAAGCTGGAATATGCAGCGGTTGTATGGTGCCCATATCTTAAGAAGCACATCAACAAACTGGAAAAGGTGCAACGACACGCCACTAAGTGGCTCCCAGAACTGAAGGACAAGAGCTACGAGGAGAGGTTAGAGGCATTAAATATGCAAAAACTAGAAGATAGAAGAAAAAGAGGCGATATGATCACTACATTCAAAATAGTAACAGGAATAGATAAAATTGATAGGGAAGAATTCCTGAGACTCGGAACTTCAAGAACAAGAGGTCATAGATTTAAACTAACGAAACAAAGCTGCCGGAGAAATATACGAAAATTCACTTTTATAAACAGAGTGGTAGACGGTTGGAACAAGTTAAGTGAGAAGGTGGTGGAGGCCAAAACCGTCAGTAGTTTCAAAGCGTTATATGACAAAGAGTACTGGGAAGACGGGACACCACGAGCGTAGCTCTCATCCTGTAACTACACTTAGGTAATTACTTAGGTAATTACACACACACACACGTGGGGTCCACGGTTTGAGTCTCCTAGAGCCCAGGTGAATGGAAGGAGGAAAATAATATATTTGGCATTGTTTTCCTGCACACCGGGGGATGTCAGCTATAAACAATGGCACGGTGCTGGGGTTAAAAAAAAAATGTCGAGATGCTACACACAAACTTAAATGAGTATTAGGTTAGGTAAGGTATGTTAGGCTACTTAATACTTATTTCTTTATCTTATCGGTTTTACCTTAATTGTGTTAGTACTTTTTGTTATCTTGTGTGCATATATATATCCAATTTACATTGTTGTATGAAAAATGTAAAATATATAATAAATGTGCAAAGAGCTGTTGAGAGAGGTCTTCAGACCAGAGCAAAAGCTAAATTTGCAGTATGAAAAAATTGACTAAATGAGAGCAGCGACCTAGTATTACCACCGCGGTAGCTGTATAACCCACCGATTACCAAGTCCATACCCCACACTCACCTAATGGTACTTGTGGGGGGGTTGAGCTCTAGCTCTTTGGTCCCGACTCTCAATGAAACGGTGTACAGGTTCCTGAGCCTATTAGGCTCTATCATATCTACATTTGAAACTGTGTATGGAGTCCCCCTCCCCCACATCACTGCCTAATGCACTCCATTTTATTCCATTATTATTTGTTTACCCCCGTGACCAGTTTAGTAGGTCAGATTTGGACCGCCAGTCCCAGGGGCACTCAATACACTGACCACCTGTATTGTGGTATTGTGTGTGTGATTAACTACCTGCATGTTGATGGTGGTTGTGATGGAGGCAGAGGAGGAGAGGAGCACGTGCCCGGGGCAGCGAGAAGTGCCCAATATAGCCCTACACACACCTGGTCTGGTGGCACTGTTGACACCTCGCCCACTCCTGCCAACACGCGCTCCCTCAACCTTCTTAATACACTCCTATCTCCTCCTTCTTCTAGTCCTCTTTAATCCCCATAAGCACAACTAATGCCAAGTTAGAATTATTATCTGTATATTAAGTATTTACTAACACTGGAAATATAATGTCCGCATTAATATCAATGTTTTAATTGTAAGCACACTTGTTCTCTCATAGAAAACGTAAAGACAAATTTGGTGGTTTAACCGACGCGTGTGGCGCGCTCACTAAAATCATTCAATATTGACATTTTGTTTCAAACTCTTTATGATGTAAAAAATACTTATTTAATAATATTTGGCCTCTGGTGGTACTGCGTGAACTTGTTGGTGCTGTAATGTAAATGTTTTATGAACCTATGTGTTTGTTTGTTTTTCCCACATCTTGCCCGAAACGCTATTTGTATTAGTGGATTTAGGCATAAGAACATAAGAACAGAGGTAACTGCATAAGGCCTATTGGCCCATACGAGGCAGCTCCTATTTATAACCACCCAATCCCACTCATATACTTGTCCAACCCGCGCTTGAAACAATCGAGGGACCCCACCTCCACCGGGGACTGGTCAAGTCGTATACTGCAATTTCGGATACCGGGCTAGAAACAACTTCGTTCACTGTGAAGTTTGTACATACAAACCATTCCGTTCGTATATGCGCTGGTTTGTGTTCGCTGTTGTTATCATCTGAATAAATACATGGCATTTGTTCATATAATTAGCGCTTCCATTATTAGAATTATTTATCCATTATTAGAATAACAAGGTGCAAACCATACCCCCCTTACAGTTGAAATCTATTTATATACAAGAAGGTACATTGGGTTGCGAGAGTACATAACATATATTAAGAGGTACATTGTAGCAAGATTTGAGATTAAAGGATTTAAGACTAACACGTTTAGAAACAAGGCGCCCCCGAAGGAGGCTATTATTTGTTATGCACCCCATACTCAACCAGTAAGTAGTGGAGCAAAACATAGATTACATAGTCATAAAGTCTTAATCAGACCAATTCAATTCTATTTCTTTCTTTATTATGCACCCCATACCTATCCCGTGGGCGGTGGTGTAAAGGATTACAGAGGCACATAATCGGTTCAGGAACTGAACCCTCTAGTTCGTTTAGCTAAGCAAATAACAATTTGTGACGCTAGTTACAAAATTATTAATATTATATATATACATGTACACACTCTCATACATACATGTACATATATATATATACGTATACATATATATATATATATATATACGTATACATATATACATGCACATACATATCTAATCACCTACACAAATACACACATCAATAATCTTTGTGTCACAAGTGATCAATAAGAGGCTCACAACAGTCACTATACAAGGCACTTTACATCTATGGTGAGTCACACAGTTACTAGTCTTGCTGCACACCCACCCAACTGGGCGGCAGCTTTACAGTCATTTGCTCCACACCCATCCAACTGGGCGGCAGCTTTACAGTTATGTGCAGCATTACCTACAGTAAGCAAATTTTGGATACTTCGCTAAGATTTCGAGCAGCACATCATTATGAATGAAGTACTTACACATTTCTTGGACACTATTGATGGTGTTATCCCTAAATTCCGCGATTTTTTCACATTCCATTATATAATGGCGCAAAGTAAGCGAATAGTTCTGCTGACAGAGTTTACATTTAGTCAAATCTACATCAGCAGATGTTACAAACTGCCAGAGGTACTTGTAGCCGAACCTAAGCCTAGCAATGGTAACATCTAGAAGTCTGCTAACATTATTGGATGACCCATAGACGTGCGGTTCTTCCTGCATAATAGAATGATGATAGATGGAGTAACTGGTGTGAATTTAACTTTGCCTCAAGTCTCCGAAATTTAGCTGATGTTCCTGGGATATTGCTGCCCTCAGGCTGCTCAAAGGCAGTCCAAGTTTGTAATCAATTCCCTCTTTACGAGCAAAAGTCTTGGGCAACTCATCAGTTCTCAGTGGCTATTTTTACATTATCATTTACAACTAATTTAAGTTAAATAACAACCAGTAAACAGACTGCTGTTTTCTAATTCTAGTTCAGGCACTTCCTGGGATAAAACGCGAACATTCCTTGAGGAACTGTGAGGTGCTTATCTGTTTTTCCTCGTAACGGTCCCAAAGCTTCCACAAATGTTCCTGTTTCTCTTCATTGCTCTTGCGGCGACTGGACTTTAGCTTTTGATCAGAAACCAGTTGGTATTGCAAGGTTACCAGGGACGCCTCACGGTACAGTAAGGGGATTAAAATATATAAAGCCAAGTTGTCCCTCACTGCCCATTGATTCAGACGCTGGTGCCATCCTTCTACGTCATTGTTGGTCCTCACCAGTCGTCTAAATGCACACCAGTTCCCCAATTCCCACACACTGTTGCACAGCCACGTATTTTTTTTATGTAATGAGTTAATTGTGTCGTTAAGGGTGGACTGCTAGCCGACTTTTCTAATTCAGCAAACGCCTTACAATTATGTAGTACATACGTACCACATAAGTACGTGTGTGTTATACACGTACACACACACACACACACACCTTGTCAAGCACAGGACGAAGCTTGAAAAAGTTTAATGGTATGCCAATAGGCTAGTCCCAGGACTAAGAGGCATGAGTTACGAGGACAGGCTGCGAGAAATGCACCTCATGACACTGGAAGACAGAAGAGTAAGGGTAGACATGATCACTACCCGGGCCTGTACCCGGGCCCCTTCTGGGCCTGTACCCGGGCCCTTTCTGGGCCTGTACCCGGGCCCTTTCTGGGCCTGTACCCGGGCCCTTTCTGGGCCTGTACCCGGGCCCTTTCTCTGCCTGTACCGGGGCCATTTCTGGGCCTGTACCCAGGCCATTTCCGGTCCTGTACCCGGGCCCTTTCCGGGTCTGTACCCGGGCCCTTTCTGGGCCTGTACCCGGGCCCTTTCTGGGCATGTACCCGGGCCCTTTCTGGGCCTGTACCCGTGCAAACTATTATAGATCCAGACCTTAACCTCTTATCTAGTATCTATGACAATCATCACTTTAATGATCAAAATTGCAGGTATTATACAGCACATGATGTAAACAATGTTTTAGGGTGTAATCACAATGTTTCTGTCATTAACTTGAATGTAAGATCTCTAAGCAAACCCTTTGATGATGCGATAGTCGCTAAGATCAAGAGAGCTGTGAGAGTACTCACCTATCAGGGAAGAGATGTCAAGTTTCTGTGGATCTCCTCCCATGTTGGAATCTGTGGAAATGAACGCGCAGATGTGCTGGCTGCTGAAGGAGACCACAGTGAGTACTTCAAACCCAAGACTCCTCTACAAATTAGCAGTATCATCAGGCAATATCACAGTGACAAGGTTACTGAGGAAAGGAGGATAAAGAACAAATCAGTGAATTTGTACACTGGTACAATGTGGTTGCAGCTGACAATCCCAATCGTTATGGACGAAGAGGTGGCCACGGGAGAGAATCAGTAATAGCAATAATTCGTCTTGGATACAAATATCCATTGAGATTTGGAATGGAAACAACAGTTGGGCAGAGAAGTTGCAGAATCTGTGGTGAGAGTGATGGACACCGCCATGACCACTACCTGAGAGAGTGTGGATATCTAAGAGTCATTAGAAATACATGTAGAATAATAAACCCCACATTGTTTGAATTAGGAAACACTATTTGTCAAATATAGATACTATTCTTAAAAGATTCCCCCATTTTGCACCCGCAAGATAATGCAAGATTTTACGGGTTGACGAATGTTAATCATCTTGTTTGATAAGCTGTTCACTTGAGACAGTTAAGCAAGTCCCAGCTGTGTCTGGGTACAAGTGACAGGATGAACAACCCAGCTGGTTTTCTTCCTATTGTACTCACCTAGTTGTGTTTGCGGGAGTTGAGCTCTGGCTCTTTGGTCCCGCCTCTCTATTGAGAGTGTTGTACATGCTGCTATGGCGGTGTGTCCACTTACAGGATGAGTGGCGCTGCCCAATACTGTCACTATGGCGGTGTGTCCACTCACAGGATGAGTGGCGCTGCCCAATACTGTCACTATGGCGGTGTGTCCACTCACAGGATGAGTGGCGCTGCCCAATACTGTCACTATGGCGGTGTGTCCACTTACAGGATGAGTGGCGCTGCCCAATACTGTCACTATGGCGGTGTGTCCACTCACAGGATGAGTGGCGCTGCCCAATACTGTCACTATGGCGGTGTGTCCACTCACAGGACGAGTGGCGCTGCCCAATACTGTCACTATGGCGGTGTGTCCACTCACAGGATGAGTGGCGCTGCCCAATACTGTCACTATGGCGGTGTGTCCACTCACAGGATGAGTGGCGCTGCCCAATACTGTCACTATGGCGGTGTGTCCACTCACAGGATGAGTGGCGCTGCCCAATACTGTCACTATGGCGGTGTGTCCACTCACAGGATGAGTGTCGCTGCCCAATACTGTCACTATGGCGGTGTGTCCACTCACAGGATGAGTGTCGCTGCCCAATACTGTCACTATGGCGGTGTGTCCACTCACAGGATGAGTGACGCTGCCCAATACTGTCACTATGGCGGTGTGTCCACTCACAGGATGAGTGGCGCTGCCCAATACTGTCACTATGGCGGTGTGTCCACTCACAGGATGAGTGGCGCTGCCCAATACTGTCACTATGGCGGTGTGTCCACTCACAGGATGAGTGGCGCTGCCCAATACTGTCACTATGGCGGTGTGTCCACTCACAGGATGAGTGGCGCTACCCAATACTGTCACTATGGCGGTGTGTCCACTCACAGGATGAGTGGCGCTGCCCAATACTGTCACTATGGCGGTGTGTCCACTCACAGGATGAGTGACGCTGCCCAATACTGTCACTATGGTGGTGTGTCCACTCACAGGATGAGTGACGCTGCCCAATACTGTCACTATGGCGGTGTGTCCACTCACAGGATGAGTGGCGCTGCCCAATACTGTCACTATGGCGGTGTGTCCACTCACAGGATGAGTGACGCTG